ACAACAGCAACGAAGAACAAGGGGAGAGTAAGAAGAGATGGATATTACATTTCTGTCTGTTGCGGATGCTGAGTATAGTAAGGGGTTGGATTTGGCGCGGCGCCAACCTCTTTTCCACCAATTGTCGCTTTTCGGCTTCAACAAGTGAGGGAAAATGGACAAGTCCTGCGCCTTCAGTTGACCCAGCTCCTTCTTCACCACCTGTCGCTTGTCTGCTCTGAGAATTGACGAAGAAGGGAGTGGTGAAGCGCTCAACACATCCTCTGGCATGCTCCAGCATTAGCAGCGAACCTGACTTTTGTTGGCCAGGCCTTGGATAGGTCGTAATCCGACAACAGAGCGAGTGGTACGTGGCGCTTCACACTACATCACTTCTGCGCATCAGACAGGCCAGTAACGGAAACAAACGATGTGACAGCTCCGTTCATACTAGCTGAAATGGGCTCTCGAACACTGGTTGAATAGAGGAACGGAGTTGAACAGAGTCATCTCTTCATGAGTATTTGAAATCCATATGAAGCTTCTTTTACGATTGAGCAAATAAAGGTGTTGTCAGAGCTTCTTCTAGAGGATCAAAGCTCAGTGAAGAAATTCGTGAAATCGCGGAGCAATATTCTGACCATGTGATCAGAATGATCCCTCCGACCTTTCCCACTGCATCTCAACAAAATGTTCCCCGTGCAGATAAAAGGTCGTAATCCAAGACTCCCCTATTCGACAGTCAGGTGTGTCGACGACGGTCTCTATTCTTCTTGTGAGAGCTATACCATAGTCACAAGTAAGTAACTACAGTTTTCACTCTGTTGCCAGGGACACGAGAGGGAATAGGAATAGGCGGAGAAAAACCAGTTGAGAGTGGACGACATCAATTTCAATGAGTCCGAACATTGTCCTGCCTAGATGGATGCATCAACACTCTTCATATTTGCTGCACTGGTCTGCACAGTGTCCAGCCAGTGGGGAGGACCAGGTACAGGATATTTTGAAGATATTTTCTATTTTGCTGTCTAACTCTGCAAACGTATATGTGTGAACCAATATGTCACTATGGTCACTACTGTGTCGTGACCTTTTCATGAACTTCAAGTTTTAAGGTGATTTTAAGACAGTTGAATAAACAGAATTCAGGGTGAATTCTATCCATGGACTTCTCATAGGTCTCGCCGTCACTTCACTCCTAAAGACACTTCCCGGGCCTGCACGTCATGAGCAGAATTTAAGAACAGTAATGCATTGCGCTAGTTGTCTTACTAGTGAAGAGAAAAAGTATGAAAAACCGCCCTCAATATGACCCACTTGATCATTGGACGAGCGTAAGATGGTCAAGATCAGTAGTGATATGCAGAAGGTGACGATACACTG